GTTTTGTTTTAAACATAAAATGCTGAATATTGATATTTGAGAATTCAATTCAATTCAATTAAAGCCACCAGCGGGTGGCAACAAGTCACCTAATTCAAAAGGTTGATTCATTCAGGAATGAAAAATGTAAGTTAACTTAATAATAACTTTCTTAAACTTGTATAAAATCAATATTATCATGCTGATAATGCATCACACACTGTAGGCAGCGCAATCCTAACAACCTGCGCACTTTGCCTATGTCTACTAATACACTACTTTCTATTTCTATTGGTCTCTGGAATTGCCAGTCTCATGTAAACAAAGCAGATTTTATTACTTCTATTACAAGTCATTAACTTGTCACCGACATCAAGACTAAACCTCATGGCCCTGACAGAGACGTGGATCAAACCAGAAGACAATGCTACACCTGCAGCACTCTCCAATAATTTCTCTTTTTCCCACTCCCCCGTCTGACTGGAAGAGGTGGAGGTACTGTCTGCTTATCTCTAGTGACTGGAAATGTAATCCTTTACTATCTCTTGAGTATCAACAGCTCCTTTGAATCACATTCAGCCACTATAACCCACCCTCTTAAAATCAATTTTATAGTTGTTTATCGACCCCCAGGACCACTAGGTAACTTCGTGGAAGAATTAGATGTGCTGCTCTCAAACTTTCCTGAGGATGGTACTCCCCTAATTATGCTTGGAGACTTCAACATCCACCTAGATACCACTTAGATCAGGGGTTGGCAACCCGCGGCTCTTTCACCCCTCTGCGGTGGCTCCCTGTAGCATGGGTGTACAATACGCGGGGGAGGTGTCCCCCCGACTTTTAATAAAACCTAAACTTTTTCCCATGCACTTTTTCTCGGGCAAGTGTGTTCACGTTTTCAAGGGCCAATGTGAATAAATCTAGATTTAAATTAAAAGAGACAATATAGTCACGTCGTTTTGGATACGTTATTCTTATCCAAAACGATGTGAACATCACGGAGCGCTGAACACTCTCATGCACTGTATGTTTCATTCATACTCGAAGCCGGAGGGCACTCTCGTACAGAAAGTCCAAAACGGACTCATATGATAGAAGTAACTTTTGACGCCAGGAAATCCCTATGGTCAAAGGCATCCCGCTGTCGCTGTAGCTAAGCTGAATAACAAGCATAAACCTGCTTAGTGACCTGACTGTGGACGATGGCAAATGATTTGCAGATCCTCAGCACCACTGACAAACATCTAATCTTGTAAAATGTGTGGCAAGTACTGCCGCTCCATGTATAAGTGCGATCACAAATCTCGAAAGTGAAAGTGAAACTAAAATGGATCATGCATTCAAAAGCAATTTAGTGGCTCCCTGATGCCCGCAATTTATATACAATATAATTACCCAATGATATAACTGCGAGAGACATTATTAAAATATGTATTTTCCTCCAATCTCGTATTTATTCCCTTGAGGGGTTCCGTAGAACACGTCATTTTCTTTCCGAACACGGTATTGGGATGTGGCAGATTGCGGGGGTTATGGGGGGAGGGGTCACAATGTCAGCTCAACATCGTGATGTCTATCAGCCATCGGCGATGGTATCGTCTATCGGCCCAACCCCATCTTTCAAATCTTTTATATGAATGATACAGTGGTAACTGACATAGCATTAATTACAGTACAGAAGCTATAAAATATATTTTCTGCCTTATTCTGTGATAAAAATGGGGGGAAAAAGTGTTTGTAGTATATAAACTATTATACAGATTATACAATCATAACCATAAATTTGTCATTATTAAAATATATATATCGGCGATGGACGATGGCATCGTCTATTGGCCCAACCCTATTTTTCAAGTCTTTTATATGAATGATGCAGTGGTAATTGACATAGCATTAATTATAGTAAAGAAGCTATAAAATATATTTTCTGCCTTATTCTGTGATAAAAATGGGGGGAAAAAGTGTTTGTAGTATATAAACTATTATACAGATTATACAATCATAACCATAAATTTGTCATTATTAAAATATATATCAAAAATATTATAGAAGACAAATGATTGGTTATGGTCCAGCAGTGTATTTTATTTCTTAGCCAATTAAAAGTAAGAGATAAGAAAGTTTTTTGTTTTGTTTTGTTTTTTTGTCAATTAGACATACATAAATAAATATTATTAGGCCTATTATTATTATTATTACTACATTTGACATTTCTCTCATCAGGCTCTTTTGACATTGAAGGTTACAGATCCCTGACCTAGATAAACCTCAGGCTGCAGACTTCCGCACTCTGCTTGCCTCTTTTGATCTCAAGAGAGTGTTAACTACGGCTACTCACAAATCAGGCAACCAACTGGACCTTATTTACACACGACACTGCTCCACTAATCATCTACTGGTTACTCACTGCATACCTCGGATCACTTCCTCCTCACTCTTAAACTCAATATGGTTCCTGACACAACACATACCCCTCCACATGTCACTTTTCGACGTAACCTACACTCACTCTCACCCTCCCGGCTATCTGCTATGGTTTCATCTTCGCTTCCTCCCCCTAAACAGTTAGCATCTCTAACTGTTGCTAACAATGCTAACAGTGCTACTGATACTTTCTGCTCCACTCTTACATC